TTAAGCAGGTACTAGGAAGAAAACAAAATACCGTAATCTTGCTAGCAGAAATTATATCTTTCAACCACATCATGCATGCATTTATTTTATCAGAATAATTAAATTACAGTTCATTTACTGGTTTCATTATATACAATAAGAGGTTTAAAACTCGAAACCAGGAACAATTGTTTTTGACTGGAAATAAGAACCAGTTAAGAACCACTTCAGCCTGATTTCTTTCTAAGTACCCGTTATATAAGCACCACTTCAGCCTGAAGTCAAAATTCACTGGTTCTTTTATGCGGGATTTTACTGTATATAAGGTGATACCAGTGTTAGGTATATGTGTGAATATTCAAAGCGGATGATAGATGTGGTTGTGCTCGGCAAGTGGACTCTGTGGCTTTCCACCGGGATTGCAGGTTTCCGGTATGCTTCCGTCGGGGGAGGGGGGGGGGGGCAACATTATTTGCATTGCGAATTTCGCTAAAATTGCCCAGTGGGACATCGCACTTAAGTGCCGTTTCTCCTCATTATGAAAAAGCCTATTAGAACAATTTGCACGCTTTTAAAGATAGCTTATTATAAATATGATTATGTATACGAGTCCTGTTTTTATCGTCTCGGATATTATTAAAAAAAACATGAAACGTATTTGGCATTGCTATTTTTATATATATAGCGCCCAGTCTGTTCTAAAAAAAAAATGTTATTGGAAATTTCCTTCTACCGAACCCCTAAAGAACTGGTGAACTGTAGAAGATTCCAACTATTGCAGTCAAAATACAAGAACCTTCCCGCTTCCGTAGTCTGTTGATATTTTCTGTAATTTGTTCTGTATTACTGTTGTAGTTACCGGTTTATAGACAAATATCGGGATAAAATTCAATTCCGCACTTTCTATTTGTTAAAATACAGTGAAACTAACGAACAATGCAGCCTTTGCCACAAGTTATCAAATAAAACAAAGAAAACTAAATTTTGTCCCCATATTTGCTCATAATTTGGTAACCGCTACAAAAAAAAACACAGAACAATTTACTTAAAATTACTGCGGTAGTGGGAAGGTTCTTGTATTTTGACATCTTGTAAACTCGAGATTCGAGTTATTTAAGAAAGACAATAAAATAGCTCGAATCTTCAGGGCGAGACTTTTTTTATTTATTGGTTTACGGATTTTACTTGAAAAAACCCAGGTCGGTAGGTCGGAAAAAAATTTTAAAAAAACATTGTTTTTCAAGATTGTCACAACGATAACATGAGCCGGTAGTACTTAGAGTCAAAGTTTACTTGGCGTGTACTTCATGTCAGAACCCCAAATTAACTAAAATTAACTAAAATTGTTGACATCCAAATTTTTTTTTATTTTTCACTTTCTGACTATTTACGGTCGGCGGATCCGTAAACCAATGAATAAAAAAAGTCTCGCCTTGAGTATATAAGATGTTGATATTCGGCAAATAACTAAATCAGTTTTAGGAAATACTGTAGTACGTCGTTTTCGAAAGGCTATAATATAGTATAAAATAGACGAGGTTGAGGAAAAATAACTTTTTTTGTAAGCTTAAAGTGGAGGTAGGAGAGCAGAATTGATATTTCAAGAACTAAATAAAGTGACCTGTGGTAAACCTCGTGCCACCTGCAGGAGCGCCGGTCGGCTTATTTTGAAAGCTGTGTAATACTGAAACACAGATTTATGAAGTCCTACATTAGAGTAAACAAACCTTATTGTTGTATTTCTATTTTATTTTCAGAAAATGGAAGAAAATTCTAAAAAGCCTACGCGACAAAAAAGCAATAAAGAAGCAATTCTGAAGGCGTTGTGCCAAGGACTGTTTCACAACACAGCGCGAAAGTAAGGAAGATCTTACTCTATATATGCCATCGAGTGGCAGCATTCTCTCTTGGACGATTGAAATCGTTTGGCGTTAGACACAGTAAAATAATAATGTATGGGGCGTCTCCTTCGCAATTTGGCAACCTCCTCTCAGCTGCAAGTAAGGATGACGAGCCCCCGCTTTCTTACTCAACCGATACTGCAGGAATGAAAGCCACGTGTACAGTAGTATACACTATTTCACCAACACCCACCCATTTTTTATGGAATGTTAATTTCTGTTATCCAGGGGTGCTGGTAATAGTTTTCGAACAATGGATGGACATGGGACTACGGTGTTTATTCATCCTTCGTCAGCGGTAAGACCACAGTATACAATTTCTTACCACATACCATACCATACCATACCATATCATACCATATCATACCATATATCGTATGTCATACCATACCATTCCACATCATATCATATATCGTGTACCATACCATATCATACCACATCATCATCATATGTCATACCATAAGAAAGCTTCGGATTAATAGGGATGCAACTACCTCAAAAATACAAGGAGAACTTCTGGCACAAACCTTTTAAGATATACCATACTATTAGTATACCATACCATATCATACCATACCATACCATACCATACCATACTATGCCATACCATATCATATCATATCATATATAATATCATACCATACCAGTAACCATACCATACCATATCTTACGACAACATATCATACCATACCATACCTGACCACATCTTCCCATACCTTATTATACCTTACCTTGCCGTTTAAAGATGTTTGGTGAAGAAGCTGATTTTGACTGGATTTTATTTCATGACGTAATTTGGACATCCAAGATTTATGTTAAGACGGTGTGCCCGGTAAGGTTCCTTTTATTTTGTCGTGACGTTCTGGTCCTGATAGAGCTCAGTGGGTATAACCTGTCGTTTATTTGACAAAGATTGTAAAATAAAATAAAATGAAATAAAATAAAAATAATTTAGGTTTCCTCCTGTAGTAACACTGGATCAATAAGAGATGATCCTTGCTGGACCTCAAGGAAGAACAGTTTAGAACTGATAGAGCTATCCAGTATAAATAAAGTTAGTTTAGTTTAGATTTCACTGGAAAAAATTTTGAAAATCAATAGAAGGTCATAAAATGGAAATTGTATGGACCTTTATTGGAAATAGAATGGATTTTGGTTATCCATAATAATTGTATATTTCCATAGTATGGATATAGTATGGAAATAGGATGGATATAATATCGATTAAGTGGTGCAATTGCAAATTTCGTAGTGTGGATTTCACTTTTTTTCCCAGTGTTTCCTCCTGTAGTAACACTGGTTCAATAAGAGATGATCCGTAATGGACCTCTAGGGAGAACAGTTTAGAACTGATAGAGCTTATATCCAGTATAAATAAAATTAGTTTAGTTTAGGTTTCCTCTATTTCTTTTATTTATAAACTTTTGTCTGAAAATCTAGATCAATTACGAAAGAATACATGACTTGCTTCCTCGTATTCACGAAGCCAGTAACCTCAGCCTTGCGGGCAATCGTTCTGTGCAGGCTAAAAATGACGGCAGTTGCCATGGAAACGAAGCTGAACAAAACGGTAGGTAACAACGGCCAGAAGTGGCTTCGCTCAAAAGAAGTGTTTGAATCTTTGTACACGGGCGCCCCACGTTTGAGAATCTTTCCAGGTGGTTGAGCGACAAACGACGGCAGCATCAAAATTAACATATTTCATACCTGACTCTTTATCCTAATATTTGTACAGGTTTAATAATGATCTCGTTATAGACAAGTAAAAACGTTTGTTAATCGACAAGCAAAGGCTTGTGAATTTGACACCATTTACATTTTAAGGGCCCACAGTATTTGGTTTTTTACTGTTGTGGTGACCCTGCCACTCTTTGTGTGGTAAAGTTATAATATAATATAATATAATATAATATAATATAATATAATATAATATAATATAATATAATATAATATAATATAATATAATATAATATAATATAATATAATATAATATAATATAATATAATATAATATAATATAATATAATATAATATAATATAATATAATATAATATAATATAATATAATATAATATAATATAATATAATATAATATAATATAATATAATATAATATAATATAATATAATATAATATAATATAATATAATATTTAACAAATATAAAACATTTTCCGTGTTGATATACAGTTATATCAACACGAGTGGAAATTGGGAAAACGAGAAATTGTGTGGAAACACGACGCCCGAAGGGCGGAGTGTTTTCACACAATTTCTCGTTTTCCCAATTTCCACTCGTGTTGATATAACTGTATATCAACACGGAAAAAATGTTTTATATTTGTTTTATAATATAGCAATGTCAAAAGCCCGAAGAATAAGAAAAAATTCCGTGTTTACAAGCGGCGGAAAATTTCCCGTGTTGACATGGAGTTATATCAACACGGCTCTTAGCCAATCAGCGTTCACAATTTACAAATGCTATATTATAAAATATAATATAATATAATATAATATAATATACAATTTTCGACAAGTTGATGATGAAATAAAATAGTAGAAAAGGTTTTGATATGTATAACAAGTTTTCACGCTCCGTATACACGCCAAAATTTAGAAAAATGTATGAGATATATTTTCACGTAGTTCAGACACAAACCACAGCAGCTTATTGTAGAATACTATCTACACTGGACCACCACGTTTGAGATATCTTTTTCAGGTAGTTCAGACACAAACCACGGCTGCTTATTGTAGAATACTACCTACACTAGACCACCACGTTTGAGATATCTTTTTCAGGTAGTTCAGACACAAACCATGGCAGCTTATTGTAGAGTACTATCTACATTGGACCACTACGTTTGAGATATCTTTTTCAGGTAGTTCAGACACAAACCACGGCAGCTTATTGTAGAATACTATCTATACATTGGACCACCATGTTTGAGATATCTTTTTTAGGTAGTTCAGACACAAACCACGGCAGCTTATTGTAGAATACTACCTACACTGGACCACCACGTTTGAGATGTTTTTTATTCCCCTTTTTTCATAGACGAGTCCCTTACACAAAGTTCAACGTCTGTCGAACGTAGAAACAACGAACAGTCGATAATGGCCGCTCGAGAACGATATTTAGCAAGGAAATTGAAGAAGGAACAAGAAGTTTATGAATAAAACATGTTTTTTTATCTTTATATATAAGGCAAGTTGTGCTTTTTAATGAATAATGACATATGCAATTTGAGCTTTGCAGTGTTGGTGGCTTGATAGAGTTTTCAAAAATACCAGCTGTACAACAGTTTGACATATTTTAAACTCCGTATTTTTCGGTTTTATGCTGCAGATATCTCAAATATTTTGATGTTTCAAGTTTTAGTAACACATAGCTTGTTGCTATGGCAACACACGCGTACAAAACACACTCTTCGTGACTTTTTATGCATCATTTTACGTTACATTTTACAAATGGACTATCAATAATCAAAATATTAAAAAAAATACGTAAATGCCATTATTTTCTTTTAAAACGTAATAATATGATTTTTTCGATAAATTTTTTATTTTTGGTATAGTGAAAGATATACTTGTAATATAGCGTGCAAAATTTGAACACAGGTCACCGTGCAAAATGAGATGTATGGCGTACTGTTTTTCAAAAATTTGATTTTATGATGACTTCAGCAGTTGACATGGAACCCGCTATGCAACACGCAATGGCATGGGATGACGTGAGCAACTCGTCATATCAACCTGTTCAACCCACGACATCTGGTCATATCAACCTGTTTCACAGGGTCTCACCTCCGCCAAGCAGGGGGTGAGCGGAGGTGAGACACTGGGAACGAGGTTGAGATCATATTTGAATTTTTTTTAGTTCATATTCCCGCGGAATTAACGGGTTTGTTCCTATAGCATAACGTTTTGTTTTCGCGATTCTTTTTTAAGGGATTTTGCGTCCAGTGTAAATAAAGTTAGTTTAGTTCAGGTTTCCTCCTGTAGCAACACTGGATCAATAAGAGATGATCCTTACTGGACCTCTAGGGAGAACCGTTTAGAACTGATAGAACTATCCAGTATAAATAAAGTTAGCTTAGTTTAGGTTTCCTCCTGTAGTAACACTGGATCAATAAGAGATGATCCTTACTGGACCTCTAAGGAGAACAGTTTAGAACTGATAGAGCTATCCAGTATAAATAAAGTTTGTTTAGTTTACGTTTCCTCCTGTAGTAACACTGTATCAATAAGAGATATTCTTACTGGACCTTTATGAGGAACAGTTTACAAGTGATAGAACTATCCAAATTAAATTAAATTAGTTTAGGTTTCCTCGTGTAGTAGCACTGGACCAAGAAGAAGATTGTTCATGCGGGAGTTTCAAAAACGAATCAACTTCTTAAGCCTGGTTCACATTGATCAGCGATGTTCTACGATCCATTGTCTGTGAGCAACGAAGAAGAAAATGTACAAAACATGTTATGCATCAATGACCACCGACAATGGGCATCGTCGATGTTTACGATCAATGTGAACCAGGCTTAAATTAAAACACTGTACGTACTGGATGAGAAAAGACCAGTCATGGCTACATGTATCTATTCGATTCCTCGTTCACATTGATTAGTTGGAGCAAATTAGTTTAAAAACACCTGTTTAAATCAATTTCCTTTGGCTTTGGGATCCTTCGTCGGTTGTCAAAGAACTGACGGGGTTTCGTTTTAATAAACAATCGACCAATCCTAAGCCAACAAATTTGAAACGGGGAAAGATAACCGACTTACCGAATTTGCTGAGATAAAGATGTCATGTGAAGATTAATATATTATTTTATATTGCAACGAGGCTAGAGCAAATGGGCAGTTTATAAAGTCAAAACATTTGAAGCGGACTCCTTCACGCCTCCATACACCTGTTATCTTAATAACACTATCTCATTATGCATGATAATTACGAAAGTTGTTTTCTCAAAATAGCGTATAACTAAAAGGTGTTTAACAATGCCTTGGCAATTACTCTTAATACTTTACTATGCTAATGAAAGGTCTATTACGTTTTTAGTTGAGCATGAAGCTTTAAAACGAAGATAAAGCTTTTTTTGAAAAAGAAAACATGTTATAATGTCCTACAATACAGTCGAGTCGTTTTCGTGAATTCAGGTTTGTAGTAAATTATTTACGATTTAACGTTTGTATTTCGTTGTGGCTTTTTGTTTCTGGGCTGTTTCTGGCTTTTTGTTTCTGGGCTTGCTATTGTTTCTGTAGTGTTTGAGTCTCTGCAGTGAGACGAAAATGAGAGTTAATGAGAGTTGGCAAGCGAGAGTTGGCATGAGAGTTTTCTCTGGTGCCCCGCGGTCGAACGAGAACAAGAATTACGTGAGAGTTAATGAGAGTTGAATGGATATTAACGGTCAAACGAGCAAAAACCGTTACTATACAGCTAAAAGGGATGAGAGCTCGTGAGAATCGATGATGTAATTAGCGTTCAAACTTCAGTTGAAGAGAGGTTTTAGGCTAGGCTTCGTCTCACTAGTTCAACCTGAACGGTAGCTGCATTGTCGGTATAGAGAAAAATGCAAAACTGTGAAGTTTGTCGATGATAAAACTACCAGAAAAATATAAAATTGACTTCGACATTTCGTTGTTGCATGTATCATGCATCTACAAATGTAGAATCTGCCTAATGTGTCGTTTGAGAGTTCGGTTACACGCGATATACAGCCTTACAGGATTCACTTGTCACGCGACATCGAATTTAACGATTTCGGGAATATCTTAACGCTTAAAATTGCGACAGGAGAAAATAAAACCGCGAAATTTTGCGAAAATTTGTGGGCAGAATCACTCCTCCTAAATGACATATGTTGTCGTAAAAAGCGAATCTGGTCTAAACGCGTCTCTTTGACTTTGTAAATTCTCACGTTGTTCCAACAAGTCTACAAAAAGCAAGTCTGTAACCGTTATCAACTTCGAACCGAGGTGCAGGTGATATCATCTTGTTTCAAACTTGCCACAAGAGCTCATGTGAACAAGCAGTCAAGTTTCTTGGTACTCATTCGTGAGCGGCTGAAATTGGGATCTCGTCGTCGAGTTTTCAATAGACCTTTCCCCTTTTAAGTGAAATTTTGATCTAGACTAGCCTGGACAAAAATTTCATCACAGCTTGAAAGAGCATCACAAAATTAGTAATATTCCAAAGTTTCGTTGCGAAATGTTGTAAAATGCGGATAATATAGCCTTGCGAAGTTTGCCGTTTTTCAGTCAGTTGGTATTACAAATGGGAAATTGATAATCAGTTTGATCATCTGATTATCAATTTCCCGTTTGTAATGCAAAATGACTGAAAAACGGCAAACTTCGCAAGGCTATATTATCCGCATTTTACAACATTTTGCAATGAAACCTCGGAATATTACTAATTTTGCGATGCTCTTTCAAGCTGTGGTGAAATTTTTGTCCACACTTGTCTAGATCAAAATTTCACTTAAAAGGGGAAAAGTCTATTGTCCGCGAGTCAAGGGCGTCCCACATTCTGGGAAGGGGAGAGGGGGAATTTTCCTAGGAGAAATTAAGTTTGGAGCTTTGTCGAACTCAATGCGTGCGTGAATTTTTTTTTCAAATTCCATTCTGCATGAATTGTGTTTTGATGTACCTACTGGCTGTTCCTCGAAAGAAAACTCCCTCATTCATGAGACTGATTTGTGAGAGATGCAACTCTCGTTCGTGTTTGACCGCCAATTAAGTCTCAAGCACTCTCGTCAACTGAGCTGGTTTAAATTCTGATGAGAATTGATGCGAGTTTTCGCCACCCGCGCAGTGATATCGAGTCAACTCTTTTCTCACGTAACGTTTGACAGGTGCATGAGAGTTGAGAAAACTCTCATGCAAACTCTCGCTTCTCAACACTCATCAACTCTCATGCAACTCTTGTTCTCGTTTGACCAGGGCATGAATGTTGAGAAAACTCTCATGCAAACTCTCGCTTCTCAACACTCATCAACTCTCATGCAACTCTTGTTCTCGTTTGACCGGGGCATGAGAGTTGAGAAAACTCTCATGCAAACTCTCGCTTCTCAACACTCATCGACTCTCATGCAACTCTTGTTCTCGTTTGACCGGGGCATGAGAGTTGAGAAAACTCTCGCTTCTCATCCACGCTTGACCGGGGTACTTTGCAAAGACAACCCGAAGATTTTCACGGCTCGAACATTTCAAGACGCGACATGTGGTGCTATAAATTTGGCCCAGTGGAAATGTTTTCAACCGTAAAGCCTTTGTTTTAGTCTTCTTAATATCAAGCTGGCCGTGAACCGCATGTAGACGAGCATGTTTTCCTTGACAAAAAAACAAGTTCAAAAGCTGGTCATGCGAGCTTTTCAACAACGTGAACTGTTCGTGTGTCAAGGAAACCTTGCCGTCAAGTATATTTGAGCATGCGTATCGCCATTAACGTCTGTATTCTAAAAGCTCACTCGCACTCAAAGAGTGGAGGTTGAATCTGAGGGGTATACTATAGCTGAGTGTCAACGCTGTTTTTGAATAGCCGGAGGGTGAGTTGTCACATAGTAAGGTACGGCACTAACCCTCCAGCTATTCAAAAACAGCATTGACACTCAAGGGAAGCTCAGATTGAACCTCCACTCTTTGAGTGTGAGTATGAGTGAACTTTTAGAATACAGGCGTTATAGTCTCCATTTATTTTGAAGTGTGTATCGTATAGCGTCTCATATTCTGAAGTGTGTATCCTATAGCGTCTCAAGGAGTCAAGGCCTCATTCCATGACAGGCGCTTTCTTCGGCGAAATGCGAAACGAATTTGGTGCATGCGCAGTAAAGATAAGTTAGACTTCGCGAAAGCGAAAAAAGAGTGCAAATTCAATAGAATCACTCATGTGCAGCCATCCATATTTCGCAGACACAATTTCGCCGTCGTGGAATCAGGCCTTTAGACAGTTTCAGCTGTTCTTAATTTTGTTGAAAGTACGAAAATGCATGATCTTGTTCGATACAGCTCTCATGATTATACATTTGTTTCGCCGACGCGACACAATATACTGACATTAAAAATTCAACTATAGTAAAAAGCCAAGGTGTCTGTTTAGGTCAAAAAGTCAAGAAAAGGCAATATGTTTTGTTTTCACTTTTTCAGCGCCTAGCAACATGTTAAACCGACAACACTATT